GTTGGATCCTTTTCATTTTTTGGAATAGGGGTAACTCTTGATTGTGTGCTGTGTTTTACAGCAACATCTAACCAGAAGGTGTTTGATGCTGACATTCTGTAAGTAAAGAATTGGCAATGTCCGTTCAGTATCAGCGTGATGGCTTGTCGAGGAGATGTTTCAATAGAACAGATCATTAAATTGCTCAAACAGTCGATATATTTCAACCGATAATATTCTAAAGATACTTTGACTGTCTGAGTTATTCTCCCTTTTGAAATAACTTATTATCTAAATGAGAAGTATGTCCATGTTTTAGGAACATCAGGTAGAACTTGTGTTATTCTGAGCATCTACACAGGTACAATAAATGACTGTAAGTTTGCTGCATATCAGTATACAATAGAAGCTTGTACTCTCCAGTCCCCCCTCGCTCTCTCTTTATCTCTCTCAAACAGACACAAAGTTGAAGCTGGTGTAATTGTTTTCTCTTACAGATTCAGTTTCACTGGGAAACAGAGTACAGGTCATCTCTCAGGTCCGACCTGCTGGGAAGCTCCTATCCAAACAGTCACACAGCTAATCACACGTGTATTATTTCTATTACTGGAATTACATTTAATATTTAGATTTGTTTGTCTTCTATTGAATGCTTCAACACTACTCCTTTTCAGTTGATATTATACTGGCATGACTCCTCTAACAGCTCAAAACCAGATGCAAATCATACAGATGGGACTATAGAAGAAAAGCTCACAGCGCCTGAGCAGATACATTTGTTCAGTTGGTAAATACAAATCTCCAAGCTGTAGATTTTGGAGAATGCCGAATGACTTGACATGTAAACAAGCATAGAATAAAGAGAAACCATTTGCTTGTTCTAAAAAAAACTAGTAAAATGGAAAACACTACAGAATGTGTTACTGTAGCGGACTCCAAGGACATCATTCATATTTATCTTTGGTTAAACTCGAGCAATTATCTTCTGTGCCTCTTCTGTGATGTTTTATCTTCACAGTAACAGTTGGACAGTGCCAGTGTGTTACTATGGAAACATGGTGTTAAGAGTGTGTCCAATGTTTCTGTTGTTGGGTTTTTAGCTGGTAAATAAACGATAAAAAAAGTTGTGCTGTCATATATAGAAGTAGTTGATCTCTATTTTCTCATAACCTCTACAACCTTATATTTAAATCAATCATTATAACATGAAAGGATTCCCTTCCTGTCCTCTGCATCTTAGCTGTCTGAGGAAACACCTGTTTCCCTTTTGACTCTTAAGTTACCATAAAAGACCAATCTGGTTTTTAAACCATAGGAATTGATCTTGAAGGACATTATTTCAAACAGTCATGTGATTTTAGGTAAACAAGCAGGTTGTAAATAAGCCACATTTTTCAGGAAATTGGAATTCGGAGAAACACGAGGACATGTGTTTCACCGGGCTGCTCAAATTAAAAACAGCATGCGTTGAGTCACACTCATTGGTTCATAACGGTTATTGACAGGAAGTGGTGAATTCATGTAAAAGTTATTCACATCCTCGGTTAACACGTATTGTCCTCTGCATACTGAGAACAGCGCTGAGCCTCGAGAGACCCGCTGCTGTGCCACCTGGGAACAATGCCTTCTGCACAGGATCTCCAGGGATACAATTGTTCCACTAATGTCATTGTAAACTTCACTAGGCCTTGGCTGGACTCCCAATCCCTGCTACACAATGATAGTGATTCATCATGGGAATATTGAAATGGAGCTGCTGTCGGTCGGAGTGTGTCGCCACAGGTCTTCTATTGTAAATGTGGCGCAAGACATCCGTCTTTACAGCATGCTCTTCTGTCCGCTGGAGGAGCACATCTGGCCAAGATGTTCACTCATTGTTTATCAATACATGCTAAAGGGCTACACTTGATGAAGCTGTTTAAGCCGAAGGAACAATAACCAGCTGCATTCATCCGTTTATTTGGCCACTTGGGGGCAGAACTTCACCAACTCCACTTCCTCCCCCTGCTGACTTTCTCTATAATAACGATGAGCAACTTCCTCTTGCTTCTTTCAAAAGGAAAGAGGTTTGCTTCAGTGGTTTGCAAGTTTTTCGTAGTTTTTTTGGGCACTGGTTTTGCCTTTTTCCTAAGAGGAATTTCTCCATATAACACATGGTAATTTGACAAGTTGTTCAAACAAAAGTAATGCAGCTTTAGAGTTTGGGAAAGAAGGGGAAAACGGTGATACTCCTGTATCTATTTAACCAAATCAAACATAATTAGGATATTCTATGTGATGACATATTTGAATAACTAATCAATTATTTAAAAATGGTTGACTTCTATTCACTGAGCCTCACCTGGAACAGTTGGGATCCCGCCTGCAGGCACAATTCACAATTGAACATATTTAGTTTATAAAAATGTAGCTAAAGTTGAGTTAAATCAAGCAGGACTGCACATTAAATCTGTAATAATCCCTCTTTACAAAAGTGTGTGCGCTCACTGTGGAAATTACTGACGGTTAATCTATAAACTGTAATGATCGGACAGTTGGTTAATATTTCACCACTCAACTCCAGTTCCTACACTGAGTATGTTTGGCTAACCTGGCGGTTTGTTAAATTCTGACTGTTGGTGTTAATTCCCACATCAGTGCAATCCCACATCTCAGCACATTAAATTAGGAAAATATAAATGTATTAAAACTGATGACCAAAACCACCACAATTAAACTGTAAAACCAAAAAGTCAGATTTGTGGCAAAATGATATACATGTTTCTAATGCAATATTTCGTCCTGGATCTGATAGACTTAGATAGTGTATAAATATGAATCATGCATTCTTCACTAATGAGATATCCACATTTAGCTAGTTAATCTTTGACATGCCTAATGTTGCATTCACATATTCCTAGATTAAGCAAATAATGAATGCCCCCTCAAAACACACCAAATCCCTCTTGAGCATTATTCAGATTTGAGCTCAGCAGCACAGACCCCCCCCCCCACACACACTTTGGTTAATTACGTCTCTCTTAGTGGGCTATGAGCTAATAAGAGAGCGCCAGGTGTGTTTGTGTTTGCTGACGATCACTGATTCGTGATTGGATTTAAAGTCACTCGGACCGCACCTGCCTGCACCTCAGGGTCCTGAAAGATCCCAGACTCAATCAACACAATTTCACCAGGTCCCCCCTTTAAATTGATTTTCGAATAAAAATCAAATCGTGTTAAACCAGATGGAACCTGAAACATTGTCACCCCGAAGGCCTGTACAGATAATCTGTTGTAGGCAAATAGAAATCAAGAACAAAAAGGATGGTTACAAACAATCCACTGGTGCTTGTTTTGTACCATATGGGTCATGTTTATCACATCAGGACATTTTAGAGAGTGCTGGGGTGGCAATGATGACAGGCTGATGAAGACAAATGCAAAGAAAGGCGAAATTTGCATCTATTTTCATGATTTGTCTTGGGGCTGTGTTACTACAACACACAAACTGACATCCAAATAATGTGCTGCCATCATTTTAGCTTTGATTGTACTGTAGAGAACAAAAGGGTATTCTAAATGTACTCTGTCTGGTCTGCACCTTTAAATGGACATAGGATTTGTCAGTTTCCTGAACATTCACAGTTGTCACAGGATTTGCCATCAGCTCCCTTATCAACACCAAATGCTGCATTCAGAGACCCCCTCAAAAGAGTGGGTTTATCCTATATAAATGCACATCGATCAGATAATTTACGGGAAGAAGGACAGATATATTTTAAGCACATCCGGGATTTCCTTTCCTAATCTTCGTATATATTGAGCAGACGACAAAATGCTTGATGGGAAGGCTGGTTGTGTTGTCGTGATTCACCCAGTGGAGATGCCCTTGATCTGTATCTAGTGATGGTGTGTGTGTGTGTGTGTGTGTGTGTGTGTGTGTGTGTGTGTGTGTGTGTGTGTGTGTGTGTGTGTGTGTGTGTGTGTGTGTGTGTGTGTGTGTGTGTGTGTGTGTGTGTGTGTGTGTGTGTGTGTGTGTGTGTATGGAAGGCCCCTTACTCCTCTGTGAAATAAACACAGCAGATAACATCTGTGTTGGTATGCTGCACCCTTGTGGTGCTTAGCTGCTACATCTCTATAAGTCCAGATAAGGAGGCTGCCGGCTCCAAGGGAGTGAGATTGAATCTGTGGCATTTCACTCGATAAAGGATCCCACTGCATTTTCCCAGATTAAACAGCCTCCAGTGTGTGGTGAAGAAAAAACCATGGCACCACGAAGAAGTCTCTCAGAGCAGTAAAATGTTTAAAATGGCTGTAAATGTACCATACAGACACTTATCTCTGTCAAGCACTGAGGTACTTCCAGATAAGCAGATGCACAAAAAGGAATCTGTGAGTCCTGGCAGCCCAATCATGCACATTGAATTTCACACACACTCCAAGCAGTCGATTGTTCTCCATTAAGATGTCCTTTGTCTCCGAGTGCCAGGCTTGTTGCCTTGATCTTGCAGAGCTGTCTCGCGCAGTGGAAACTTGGCTACTCTGCCGCCGTGGTATTGGCAGTACAGGCGTCCCTGGGAGGTGACAAGGACAGCGATTGATTGGGCTTAAATGAGAGTGAAGAGAAAAATTGATTGCCATCGATCCACTTCTTCCTCCAGCAGGCTCCTCCATCTTTGATTATGACCACTTTACGCCCCAATCAAGTGTGTGTGAGCGCTGCTGGGGGAAATCCCATTGAGAGGTATTAGCTCCATTTGCAAAGGCTGTAATTATGCGAGGATGCCCAAGGTCAACGCGCAGCAGGTGCCATCAGGCTGCATGATAATAATAGGGCTTCCTCTTACTTCCCACTGCAATTTAGTCATATAGATAATAGGCTATGGGTAAGATGGTGTGTACTGTGCGTGTGTGTTCCCCGGAGGAGGCTTGATGCATAATACATGTCTTCATAATAACCGCTTTAGGACGGGGAAAAACAGCTAGCTGCGATTAAACACAATCATTTGCCTTGCAGATTCAAAAATAACAGCGCTATTTGGTGCTTTTTTCCACATTTTTTTATTGAAAGCTTCATCAGAGAGAAAAAAAACAACTCATAAAACCCAAGTCAAATTCTAACATCCACAGATGTACAGATAGTTTCTCAAATAACACACACACTGAGCAGCGTGTGCGAGGCGTGACCATGTCCTCCTCGCGCTGAAACAAAGAAAAGTGAAGAACGAACAAAAAGAGAAAACTAACAAAAATAAAACATTTTAAAACCGCTCTGCTGTCTTGATAAATAGTTCCTCTTTTTAATCTGGTAAATGAATACCAATGCCTAACACACTCTGCTGGCTATGTCATTTCCTAGTGGTAGTTGGATATTTCTCTGGGAGCTGTTTGAACTCCACGAGGGCTCCTGGGGTTGTGTGGCCAATCAATAGCTCTTATCAAAGGTGGACCGAAGCATCAATTATGAAGCACAGGGTCTCGCTCTTGTGGGGGGCAGTTTGAACAATTTTCTCACTGCATTATGTGTGTGCAGAGTGTGAGTGTACTGGCCTGTGATGTGTAATTGAGCCACGGTTAGCCTTATACCCTACGGGAGACCGGATTGGAGAGCAACTCTGAACGACTGTTTTCCTCATGAGAATCGATGCGGAATGAATGCAACTCTGTTCACAAGGAACCTTTGCAACAACTGAGTATGACGTGTTATACATCTAATGAGTGACAGTGTGAAAGCAACACTACATGAATTACTGTCTGGATCATGTCAGATTTAAGGATGGCTGCAGTTATTGTGAAAAACGGTGAGTTCGGGAAGGATGGAGACAAAACGTTCAGTCAATACCGCGTCTGGAAAACTGACTCTGAAGAAGACCAGGATGTAGGTACAATCTCAAGCCCACCATTCGCTCTTTTAGTGGACAGTATTCTGCTTTTTCCTGTATCAAGAAAAGTCATTCTGAACATCTGATTACACTTCCTTCAGGCACCAGATGAGTGAGATTTACTGCACTTAGGCAATTCAGATATTGTAAAAATAAATAATCGTTTTCAACACTCATTATGATTGCATAAACCTTTTCTTTTCGGCACTATAGCAGCAAACAATATCATTATAACACTTAAGTAAAACAAGACTTAAGGTTGATCGAGCACCACTTAGGCCTAGGTTTACTCAGCAATATTAGTGACAAGCCAAGGACATTCCATCTCCAACCTGCTGTAGACAAATAATGCAAACTAATAAATGCAAACTAATAAATGCAATGGTGGTCTACAATTTAATTTCAGAAAAGCTATGCAAGCAGTGCTTAGACACAGATTGCAAATGGTGGCAGCCTCACGATGGAGTGTTGAAGTCAGCCAGAAACAATTCTTAAGGTTAGAAGAGATTGGAACAATGATCAACTGTGTAGAAAAGGAGAGGGATGGTCATGGTGTGAGAGAGGAAGTCTGTGTTGCTAATGAGAGGGGTGGAGCTCGTCCCCTTTTGGAGACCTGTACACGGGACATACTGCTGCAAGAACACGGAGAAACTCCAGGTTCTGACCACTTCTGCCCGGCAACAGCGGCTAATGATCTGCCTCTTGTTCTTTCCCACACACACACACACACACACACATTCTAGGTATAGCTGACTCCTGGTTTGTGCTGACACATGGGCTGACTGGGAGAGGAGCATTTTCTGCTACAGCCTCCTTAAAAATGCCGGCGTGCCTTCTGTACACTTCCAAATTTGTATTCTGAAAAGGTACGTTAAGCCATTGTGCTATTAAGAGAGCCATTTTTGCTTGTTCAGTCGGGTAATCTTTTAGATCTGTGAAATATTGGCGCCATGCACCAAAAGCAAACACCTGCCTTAACATTTTCAATCTTGAATCTCCATTAGCAAAATAGATCTGATATTTGTTGTTGTGCATTGTTATTATCCATAATCTCTTGGCGATGTGTAGTCCTATATCCCATAATGCCATTGCTTTTGAATCTCAGGCCTTCTGTGGGACGCTCTGCTCTCCGATGTGCAACTTCTGCATTATGAGCCCTGTTAGGCTTCGAAAATGTCTCTCTGTATTACTTTTATAAAAACAGCAGCTGTAAAAGTCTATGCTAGCTATGCTGTATTCATAGCTAAACGTTTGAGTAGAAGAACTCTTCACACACACACACTGACACACACATACTGTACTAGCTTAAACCTGGTAAAGTTCAAGTTTAGCAGTTTACCACTTAAAAGGACTCAGCGATGGACTACATTGAGCAAATGCAACAATGACGAAACAGATGAGCAATGTGGGAAAGTCCCGGGAGCTCATAAACCCAACATTTGTCAGTTGTTAGCCGTTAAAGACTGTAATGTGGGTGAGACTTGTTCATTGGGAGATAAGAGCAAATCATAGCCTGGAGGCAAGTTCAAGCAGATGTGGAATGTGGATCAGATGAAAGGAAAAGGGCAGGTGTTAATTTGATTGGACAATAAACAGCTTAACAGTCAACGAGAGACAGTTTGAATGACACATTTAGCTTCTCAACTTCATTGGTGGACGGAAGATAAAAATGACTAGCAATTTCTGGCCGAGGAAAGATAAGGTGAGTATGGCTTTAAAGGTGTAGTTCACATGAGGAAGCTGTGTGCCAGCTTCTTGTCTGTGTTGTCAAGTGGACAGGAGGCCTGTTAAGAGTAAAGGCCAAACGATCAACAGTGGCCGGCTCATCACAGAGATCAGTCAAGGCAAAAGCCTGAGAATGCCTCCTCTTTAGCACCATAGAGTAGCTTCCATATTGTGTCACATTTCTTTAGCACAATTGAATTAAAAAAAATCTTCCATTTGCTCTCACACAAATAATTTTGAATTATTTGGAAGCTTTGTTAAAAGGCACTCGATGTACAACTCGTCGGTAAATTACAAACACCGCCTCGCATGATGACGTTTGCCTGTAGTGTGCTGAACACGCCATCATGCTAAAACATAGAGCAATGGACTTACTGTAGATTTGAACGAGTCACACGAACTGCAAGAGCTCAATTGCAATTGTCACCAAACAAAAAGCTCCCTCAGTCTGGAAGAAAGGGGTCTTTTGAGGGACACTGGAGTGGATCCTATTGCCCCGGAGGGAGACAAATTGGGCCCGTCAAGCCTCATTGCGAGAGTGACTGAAATTGGTTTGTGGTTCTGCTTCTGCACCATCCAATAAAGAGAAGAAACTCCAGTGGGAGCACAAGAGAGAGGGGGGGAGGAAGGGAGGGAGAGAATTAGGGAAAATGAGAGCAAAAGGACCCTGGCTTGGCCATGGCACATTAATGGTGCCAGTGAAGCAGGGAGAACACAGAGCTTTTTAGCTCTGTAGACCCACAGTGGGGCAGAGCGGGCAGGCACGGGCCAACAGAGCAACACACAGAGGCTGCTATAATGGGGGCAGAAATGGCCGCTGTCCCACAGGCCATTTCCTCAGGGGACAATCCTCAGAGATGAAATCATTGGAACCCTCACACAGCTCAGGGACGGAAAGACCAGATAAGATGTGCAGGGCTGTTTGTGCAACAAATTGGAACAACCAGGGGTGTAACTGACACTCAGTGGCGGGGCAGAGGAAGGAGCTGCCATCGACAAGTTAAAGCTGGTGAGGAGCCTGGTCTGTTCCCACAGGTGTGAAGACCCCCCCTGCTGGTGGTGGGTCAATGATCAGGGGGATGATCAGGACAGACAGTCGTTTTCCAGCCTTTAAACACACCTCTACCATGCCTTGTTAGTGTCACAGAGTGTCAGCGTCTATAATGCTAACACTTAGCTTGTATTCAAGTGTCTTTTAAAGGAATTGCGTGACATTCTACAGTCACTTCTGCTTGTCCAGCTAACGATGACGACAAAGTATACATTAAATAATGAGGTAAGAAATATTAATGAGTAAGCTTTAGAGGTGCAAGTAGGAGGCTTTTGTTAGCTTTGCATAGCATCTTGCTAACTGTCCCCTCCCCCTGTTTCCAGTCTTTGTGCTAAGCTACGCTAACCAGCTGTTAGCGGTAGCCTCATATGTTAATATACAGACAAGAGAGGGAAACCGATCATTCTCAGGAAAAAAGTGTACAAGCATATTTCACGAAAAAAGTCAAATTATACCGAAAAAAATCTGCCCCTTCCTTCAGACTTCCTTACAGAGGCCCTCCTCCAACACACACGAACGCGCACATGACCAATGAGGGCACGAGGTAAGTTTGTGCACGAGATGGAAGGCTGACAGGCAGGTAAGGCCATCCAGTTATTTTAGCCGGGCCGGCTAGAATTGTTTGTCGTGCTTTTTACAGCATTACAGCTTCCACAGATGACATTTTTTTATGTATTTATTGTCAAAGCATTTAATGTATTCATTGCTATCGGGATGTTAAGAGCATTCCATGGAATATAACAAAAAGTGTTTCTGAAGTGAATTACCTACCCCACCTTTAAGTGCCATAAGGTTTATGCAATCATTGCTAAACACTTTAAACAACTTACCTGATGTCCAACATGTAGCAAACACCACTCATCTGGTATGCCTGGCACGTAAATACTCAAAAATGTGACCTAGGTGTGGTGATAAATGGAAGAGATGAACGGAAGAGATGAACAGCAGCAGGGGGATTCCCAGTTATGGTTCAATTAAAGCGATAAAGAGACTGAGGACAGTAAGGGCATAAAGCTGGAAGCAATGTGTCAACAACCACGAAGCGTAGCAAGCAACGTTCCCCAATCTATTCCTAAAGTGTTCCCTGTAGGATCCAAGAGAAAGTCAGAGTTGGAATGCACCAACAGTGTGTGAAGCATCGTAAAAAGTGATGAGACACACAAAGAAATGAAAAGACAAGTAGAGGAGAAGAAAAATGACTTTTGGTAGGACTGCCACTGGTTGCATCACACTTTAAATACTGTTTTTGATGTGTGTGTTTTAGTTTTTACATTAAGTGTGTCTGTTTAGATACATGTATGTGTGTGTGTGTGTGTGTGTGTGTGTGTGTGTGTGTGTGTGTGTGTGTGTGTGTGTGTGTGTGTGTGTGTGTGTGTGTGACAGCTTGGACAACCGTGGAAAACTAGCTTAAACCCGGCAAAAAAGAAGATTTTAAGAAGGATAGTAAGGACTGGTCCGGCCATCAAGGTCAAATAAAGAACAACGACAACAGCAACATCAACAACAACAATATCAACATTAACATCATCAACAACAGCAACATCAACAACAACAAAATCAAACAGAAAAATGGAAAGGAAAACAAAACAAAAACAAAACTCTGGTTCAGAGTGTCTCTTCATCTTTGGTATAAAAATGGCCACCCATGGGCTGCATTTGATCCACAACTAGGAAAGACTACAGAAATTGTCAACAATTTCTTCTATTGCTTTTGCACTGATTTGTTTAAACCGTAAGCTCCTACTGAATCTACTGTTTTTATTTCACTGCCAGAATTAATTTCCGTAGTTTTTTTTGTATTCATTTTATCATTTTTTTTTTCTTCTTTTTTTCTTTTTGCAGTGTGACAAGCAAGCGGGCAAAAAACATCTTTAAGCTCATAAAAAAGGTAAAATGTGGCAGATAAAAAGCACTAATGTCATTGACAGCAACTTTGCCATTTAAAATAATAATTATGATAATAAAAAAACAAGTTCAGCGTTTGCAACAGACTGCATCCACGATGCAGCATGTTTTTCTTATGTTTTCATTTTTTCCTCATGGTGAAAAATCTCTTGAAAGCTTCTTCTCCCCCCAAGTCTTTTCCCCCCCAACAGACATTTTGTTTTCTTCTGACACTTAGTTACCTCTGACATAATAATTATCAAAGTTTTCTTCTAATGAAGAAAAAAAAAAAGCTCTTCTCTATTAAATCTGTACAGCTTATGTGATAGATTCTTTTTTCCTCTTTAGAACAACGTATCCAGTGTCTTGTACCCTCCGAGTGGTACAAGAAACTGACTTTGTTTGCTTTTTTTTTCCTTCTAAACAGACGTCAGACTTTAACTCTGTAAAAAGTTTCTGCCGCCCTTCAAATTAAGGCCATGAAGATTCAAGAAAGAAAAAACACTTTGTTTCTGAATATATCTAGAAAACTAAAATTTAACACTAGAACATAAAAAAGAGTGAAAAGAAATTGTAGCTTAATATCTGAGGAAGACAATCTCTGTGTATTTCAAACTTGACTCCCCTTTTCTAATTACAAAATAAACTTCATCACCTACCTGCGCATTCAACCTTTTTTTTTGTCATTTTCTATTTCCTTGTTTTTTTTCCATTTATTTTTAATTGGTTGAGAATTTTCTTTGAGAAACTTTTCAAGCTTCAGCCCAGCCCTTCTGGCAGGTTCCCAGACTAAACAATTTCACTTCTTTGCACTGTGCCCAGCAATTCCCCCATCCCCTTCCTCAGCACTCTTTGCCTCCTTCTTGCATTTTTTCCCCTCTCTTTTTTTCTCGTAGGCCAGGTAGGAAATGAAAAAAGTGTCTCTTTTTTGGTGCCTGGGCAATCTGGAAGTAATCTCTTTCTTTTCTCTTTTCCTCACATTCACAGTGCAGCCACCTTCTGTCTCAAGGCAACGCTGTCACAGGAACATTCGCTCAGGCCGATGCTATCTGATGAAGGGGAGAAAACACAGAGAGAGAGAGAGGGGTGCCATTGTAATCAAAGCACAATATTACAAACAGAGAAAAGCAATAGAGCTGACAGCTGACAGCTCTGTCAGAAGACTGAAGCAGAATGAATCACGTTCAACTGTTGTGATCGGGACCCAAAGGAAGAAAGTGCTGCTAAAATGACGAGCAACTGACAACTGACGCCAGCAATAATTTGAGTCATTTATCAAAACACTGCTGCGTCTTAGTGCTCACGTTTTATTTAGATTTGTACTAAGCATTCACTATCACTATTTGTCAAAGAGAATAACTTGCAATTTGAATGCTTATGCTAGTACAAAGCTGAACAAATTGTATTTTGTACAATAAAATCCCTTTACAACACAATTCACAGACAGGAATTAGCTTATAGCTTTATTGAAAAATGTACTTTGGGAATGAGAAAAAAGTGTGTAGTAGAATTTGAAACTATACCTGATGACGCTAAGTACTATATACATTTATATTGTCTCTGAATAAATGCTGTCATACCGCCCACTGATAAAGCTTACAATACAAAGGAAAGCAGAGGATATCACGTTACAGCGGCTGACAGCGAGTGTCCTGCCTCCCCGTGTGACTTACTTGGACTGGTATGAGTAAGCAGGAACATGGTCGGCAGAACTGTCCACTTGGATCTGTTGCTGCTGTCCAGCCAGCTCCTGTGACGAGGGAGCCACTGTCTGGGGGGAGGCGTCTGTCACCACTCCCTGAGGACACACACAGGAGGAAATCTGTCAGCTCTGAACTTTAACAAGCTTCTCTCTGCAGAGCTCGCCACTTCCTGCTGAAACGGACAGTTTTCCTACCACTCCTGTCCACTGTGTGCACATACATTTGTAGTACTGCATGTCCTGCTGTCCTGGGAAAGGACAGTGTCCTCTGTTGCTCTTGTTTGACCAATAGTTGTTCTACTTTTTCTAACTTGCATTAAGGATCTAAGTATACAAACTGTTAAGCCCTCTCAATGCTTTAAAACACATTATTGTTTAATGGTAGAAACAAAACCCTTTTGGCACGATATAAGAATAGACCTAATAAAAATGTGTGATTATTATCTTCTCAGATGACAGGTCTATCACTCTGAGTATATGACCCATATCACACTATTTTATTCAAAGATGCCGTTATACTGCCTGTTAGAAATGCATATAAAATAAAAGCATAGACACTTAGAGTCTTTTTAATTATGCACTGTTAAGGGGTAGACCCTCAAGTGTTAGACAGCATTGTAAAAGCAATATAAGCTATACATCCTTTTGGACCTGTCTGCTGCATTCGACACGGTGAACCATCAGATCTCCAAGAATTTGGAGTTTCAGGCTCTGCACTTTCCCTCCTCACCTCATACCTCAAAGACCGTACCTACAAGGTAACTTGGAGAGGGTCCGAGTCCGACCCTTGTCAATTAACTACAGGGGTCCCTCAGGGCTCTGTTCTTGGTCCCCTCCACTTCTCCTTGTACACAAACTCGCTCGGATCTGTCATTAGCCCGCATGGTTTTTCATACCACTGCTACGCTGACGACAATTCTTTCTGTCCTTTCCCCGCTCAGAGACCCAGGTCGTCGCACGCATCTCTGCTTGTCTAGCAGACATCTCTCAGTGGATGTCTGCTCACCACCTCAAGCTCAACCTTGACAAGACTGAACTGCTTTTCCTTCCGGGAAAAGATTGTCCCACTCTTGACCTAACAATCAACATCGGCACATCTATTGTTTCCCCGACTCGGACTGCAAGGAATCTGGGTGTGACCCTAGATAACAAACTGTCCTTCACTGCAAACATCGCTGCTACAACCCGCTGCTGCAGATACACTCTTTACAACATCAGGAGGATACGTCCCCTCCTGACCCAGAAAGCGACGCAGATTCTGGCCCAGGCTCTCGTCATCTCACGCCTAGACTACTGCAACTCCCTCCTGGCTGGTCTACCTGCATGTGCCATCCGACCTCTGCAGCTCATCCAGAATGCAGCGGCTCGTCTGGTCTTCAACCTTCCAAAATGTTCCCACACCACGCCGCTCCTCCGCTCACTTCACTGGCTTCCAGTTATTGCTAGAATCCACTTCAAGACAATGGTACTTGCGTACCATGCTGTGAATGGATCTGGCCCTTCCTACATCCAGGACATGGTTAAACTGTACACCCCAGCACGTGCACTCCGCTCTGCATCGGCCAAACGGCTCGCTGCACCAGCACTGCGAGGGGGACCCAAGTTCCCATCAGCAAAAACATGTCGGTTTGCTATCCTGGCTCCAAAATGGTGGAATGAGCTCCCCATTGAAATCAGGACAGCAGATAGCGTGCACATCTTCCGGCGCAGACTGAAAACTCATCTCTTTCGACTCCGCTTTGAGCGATAGAAGCACTAACAAAGAATTGCTAACAAAGCACTTATAAACTAATAAAGGACTGGCTTATCTAAAGCCGGTTGAGTAGCACTTGAAATGTTTTAGCTCTATGAAACCTGATGTACTTATATGATTCTGTTTTCTTCAAGTTTGTATCTTGTTGGTCGAATGCACTTATTGTAAGTCGCTTTGGATAAAAGCGTCAGCTAAATGCAATATAATGTAACGTAATGTATTTGTCTTTTATGAAATTAAGCAACTTAAGCTGAAAACATTTTGTATTGAATAATAGTACATCATTTGAAAATAACTGTGAGATGAAAGTGATCAGTGTTTAAAGTCAAGCATGTGCGAATAATATAAAATGTGCTGAATTGCTTGCAGACTTTGACATCTATATTTGAGGTAAAGAAAAGTCTTTAAAGATGGCCATGCACTCTGAATTCATCACAACAGCCTCTTAGCCTTTTTATGTGTCTAGCATAACCGATAGCCCCCATCACTGAGCCATCTCAATCACCTTTAACAAGCTCTCAAGGAGACTGCGACCTGTCCATACATCAGCCCTGCAGTCAGGCTGACGCTGTGATATACGCCCCGCTGCTGAGGCTGGCATTGAGAGGACGAGGGTGAGGAGGAAATAGGTAAAGAGGCGCCACGGGCTACACTACAACTACATTCCTCTCCTCCATCCTACTCCTGCATGATGAACTTTTTGGGAGCTTAGGAGGAGGGGATGAGAGAGAGAGAAAGGGGGGGGAGGGGACTAATGGCTCTGTCAAGGGAAAACTGTCATTGTCCGTGGCTGGTGGGCTGAGCAGAGCTCCGTGGCTGACGGATGTGTGTGTTCCTGTTACCTACCAGCCCGGACTGGCTGTGGAGGGAGTGGGGGGGGGGAGAGAGACAGCACCGCCGGCACTGTGTCTCACTTCAGCTCCTGTCATCTGATACACGACTGATAGTCCATCTGAATACGAGCGCACTGTCAGCCGGCAGACAGCCGTCGCGCTCTCCTCGCCGGCCTGCCTCTTCCTGCTTTCCGCGTTCATCATTTCTCAGGCTGGCCTGCCCCAACCTGCCAGCAGCTCAGACAGCCGCCCAAAGAAGTGACAAAGTCTGTGCTGCACTTCAAATGTCTTTCCCCGAATACTATAAAACTTCTGCCACTTCTTGCTTTGCTTGCACTTTTCATCCTTGTTATTTGCGAGGCCATTTATTCAGAGACAATACGAGCAATTTACGGCTTGTTTCAAATGTAATCTGTCTGTTTAATGTTTGGGTTTGTTGATGTGGTGAGAAGGTTTTTTAGAAATGGCAAAGGGAATGCTTGTGGGAGTAAGGGAGTGGGCTGTCAGGAGTAATGATGTCCTCCATTTGGGTAAACATGGACAGGTTTTTGATATGTACTGAGTGCAGCCTTACTTCGACAGGGACGGCTGTTGGAGGCACAGGAGTGTACTGGGGAATGTAGGTCCCTTGCATAGGCGCCGCGGCAGCTGCAGCAGTCATGTACTGAAACACAAACAAGAGACGAACAAGCATCACAATCCCTGCATACATCACAAAACACAAATATTACACACAGTTCTGACACAAGTATACTAATCACTATCCAATATGGGACAGAAAAACACTTCCAACCCTGATTCCAAAATCCCCAGACAGTCTCATTAACTGCAATTACTCCCAGAAACCATTGAGAATGTGAGCCTGCAGCGCCCTCAGCATCCTTCGGAGGGCGCTGAAAGAATATGTGTGCACTCTCAGCAGAGCAGAGTGTGTGAGGGAGACAGAGGAGAGTGAGGAGGGAGAGAGGTCCAGCTGTTCCACCAAGACTTCACAGGCAGGCAAATGCACCAGGCCACAGCTGAGAAGACGATACAACAATGAAGAAAAAAGTTGAGGAGGATGAAGAGAGAGAGGGAAGGAAAGAGAAAGCAGGAGGTCTTTTGCCTGTGGCCTATATTCCTTTTGACATGCCTGCCCTGGCTTTTAACTTGGTGCTAGCTCACTGCATGATGGCCATTTTACAGACGTGACACAAGCTTAGTTACATGACAGCCACGGGGCTTTTACATGCAATATGAATGAGGACACGGCACTTTGAGCGAGGCGTTTTTTTTCTGGAACTTGCTGTGAATGGATGTTGAGTGTGTGCGTGTGAGTGTGATGGTGAGCCAGTGTCAGCCTGATTTGCCAGTGTGTGTGCTTCTTTTTAATTAGCACATGCCTGTGCATAAAAGATGACTTATCACTATTTGTCTGCCCAACTGTGCATCTGGATGTATGAGTTATCTCGCATGCAGCTGTGTGTTTGAAACATACGTGTGTGTATGTGAGAGACAGACAAAGACAAAGAGGCTTGGAACGATAATGCTGCAGTACAGCGCCAACGGATGTGATCCCAGATAAAAGCCACCAGGCTGCCTCTCCATCTCTCCTCGTCTTCCTGCTGCTTTTCCGGACCAAGAAAAAAAAAAGAAGGAAAGTGCAATCCCTTTCTTTCCGTCTTATTTTTTTCCCTTCTCCTCTCAGTCCCCCTGCCAGAGCTAAAAAGCGTGGCGGCAGTATGCAGGAGGAGGCAGTAATGGAGGGGCTCTGCCCTGCTGCGGAGCCTCTCTTGGCCGAGGGCCCGGCGGTGCTGGTGAAGTGTCATTACCGGCAGCGTGGCTAATGGATCGGGTACGGCTCCACCGCTCACCCCTAATGAGAGCAGCTAAAGGCCATGGACACGGGTGATTAACTCCCCCACCGTGGCTACACATGGCCAGGAGGATGCCCTGGGATGGATGTTGGTGTGTGTTCATATGTGTGTGTGTGTGTGTGAATTTAAGGTTATCACACCTTCAGTGCTGTCACACTCCTAACGGGGTGAGGCGGCACTTCCAGACTTCCTGACACATTACCACATTACCTCTCTGTGTCATCCCTTCTTCCCTCTCACCTTCCTGTCACTCGCTCTCTCCCCCCTCCCTCGCTCTCAACCTGCTATTGTTTAAAAGGGCCTATCAGGTTGTTGAAGTGACCTTCTCCTCGGTGAATTGAAACCATGCATACCAATTGTCCTCAGGACTTTTAGTCTTCGCTTCTCCTTCCCATTAACTTATTCAGTCAACTCACCTGTGAGGGCTGCATGAAAGCAAATGAAGGGAAGCAGGAGATAATTAGCTATATCAAAATCTCCCTGTCACACGGAGGATGTCCATTTTAAATGTTATATTTCGCTGCAGGACTGCAAAAGGAATTTAAATTAGATATAACAAGGGCATGTAATAAGATAAGATTTTTCCCTCTGCCATAACCATTAGTTAACCTATTTAATGTGGCAGGTTGAGCGGGGCATATTTCTGCAGTCGCTGCTGTGGAAAGTCAGAGGGATGTCAAGCCTGGCTACAGTGAAATGGGTTGCTATGGCGATAAAGATGATTTTTATCCAATTTCAACCCTTTTAATACTTCCCTGTCCATAGTCAGGGGACAGGTTTAGCCAATATAAAACATCCCTAATTGGCAATAAATGGTGTCACATACATACACAGCCACTCATACTGTATCTATTCACACACACACACACAAACACAAACACACACCTTCGACGGGAGCAGATGGCGGGTGCGTTTGTTTGATGAACGGGAGGCCTGAATAGTTCCTTAACGAGGCCGGTGTGAGTAGACTCCTTAAGTCTCTTCTCTACCATCACTCTCTATGACATACAACTATAAGTACGGTATAAAATCACACCGCAATGCAGCAATGGCAGGATAAAAAAAAAGAATTGATGTACCAGCGTAGACAGAACCACTCTGGTACCACAGTGGTTTGGGCCTCTGCACCAACTTAGACAATTTATGAGGATGATAGAGCAGTTTACTTTCTGCTTTCCACAGCTACAAATACTTTTCTAGAAAAGGTGACTTGGGCACAGCATGTTCAAATACATCACCCAGCTCTCTGTCTGTCACTCAGCCTCCATCTATCAGTGCCCTCTGTGTTGACATGCTGTTCTGTCACATCGTGTGCAAGGTAGAGGATAACAGTTGGTCAAGGCTCGAGCATCCAGCTGCTCAGGATGGGTTATTAATGGCAGAGAAGCGTGGGGATGGGCTCTGATGACTATTGATCTAAGCTGTGGGGCTCCTACACAATGGGAACTATTGGAGCTGCAAACCAGCGGCTGTGAATCACAATTCTGTACCGCCTCACCATGAAAAGCCTCTCCATATCTTGGCCCCGAGGCTTTGTTAACAGCCCGCCTGCAGAGATTTACTGTATGCTGGCAAAAATCAGCATCATCTTTTTAATCACTTCCTTAAATACATTCGCATCAGCAGGCTTTTACAGTATATCATTTGACTATTTCACTATTTACTATCTCTGTAAGAAGGAACCCTGTGGAGAGTTTGACCCACATTAGCACTATGGAGTCCTGTTTTGTATCTTACACACAAAAGCACGCACAAATTGGTGAAATGACACACCGTTGTGCCATAGGTTTGACATAATTCCACCGATCTACAAGTTGGCTCTGTTCACTGCTACTTGTATTGAGTTGTGAAGCTTTAAGTTTAATGGTAAAAAAATCCAGTTGAACGCTAAACTGACAAGTATCCATGCTTTAATGTTCAAAAAGGTATTTATTTTTCTCATACTGCCTGTGCTGCAGCACCTCTTTTCACCCTCTGTCTGAAACCAGAGCCAAGTCTGCTCTGATTGGTTAGCTGGACGACTGTTGTAATTGGTCAACTTCTTAGAGATGTCCTGCCCCTAGGCCTATCATGTACATGCGTTGGAGCACCAGCCAATAGAAGCGTGAGTGTTTCATAGTGATGTCAGAAGATATACATGGGCGACAATTGAATTTCGGGGGGTGTGGAGGGAACTTTGGGATTTTAACCTTTGCAGACCAATTACATGCATACAAACCTATATAACACATTACAGGATGGAAAACCCCCAAAAGCATAAAAGCACTCCTTTAACAACTACCTTCTACCGATTGGCTCTGAGAATCACCTTGCAGTCAACATGTGTTCCTGTTTGAATGTGAAGCTACAAGACAAGAGAGTGCGTGCTCGGTCAACTTTCCCCGGGTGAGTTAAAGTTAAATATCTCAATGCACTGTTATAAAAATGTAGAACAGTACTGTACTTCCCCATGGAAATCCAAGGGAAACAGCCCAGATAATAGAGGGGAGCTCTTCACACAAATCTGTCTTCCAGAGACAGAGAAGCTGTCAATCACCACTGTCACCATGACAACAGAGAGACCTGGGTTCTACTTGCCATGACAGGAGTAGGATGGAGAACACAGAGGGAAGGTCACCTCTTGTCATGTCAAACACTATGTCGCTAACGCACACACACAAATGTGCACACGATAGAGCATGTGCACATCCACACGTGCACAGCAACTACCAGGCATGAGCAAACACAGAGCATGACAGATAGACTCCTGCTAAGTGGTGAGAGCGCAGAGATAGTAAATAAATCAGTAACCGAGCGATATGCACCAAACATAGAAAAATAAATCAATGAGGAGCATGGATGGCATTTTTATGGTGTGCCATCCATAAACATTGAGCCTAAGGTTCTTTAGCATTCTGTAATCAAGTTGTTCAAGATACACAGGCACCAAATAGAGCAGGGGACTAAAGAGATTTTTGTAAACATTTCATTACTTTTGGTGAGTCAACTGAATTCCAAAGCAGTGACCATCAGACAGCATCGATCCATGCTTCCTTATTACGAGGCAAAGTGTTCCTAGCCACTCCCTTTTAACAGGCCTAACACCGCGTTCTCGGAAAGCTCCGGTCACCACACCAGTGTCACAGCTGGGGCCGACCGGGAACATTTGGTTCTTTACTTGGAGAGAAGGCTAACACCGCAGCCACACACAAACAGCCAAGAGTATTCTGAGGTGTGGCTTTCCCTCCAGCGGACATACGCAGTCGTGATAAGTTGTTGACTTTGGAGACGCTTCTCATGGCAGGTGCTCTCCGGTGGCAAAGGGGAGGTCACTTGACCAGTGGAGGAAATCAAAACAACCTCACCACATGCGTATACACTTGAGAAATGTGCTCTTAGAGTATGTGGTGTCAAGTCCAGTTTACTACACGGATAGTTACAGATCCCGGTTCCTAACCCCTCTTTTAACATACTTTCTCAATCAGGCATTATGAAAGGGCTCTCACATCTGGCTTGAGAAAAAGCTTGATAGGAAGCATGTCTCAATTCCCATAGATGATCAAGAGTGGCATGCCGTGTGTGCAGCTCAGCCATAGAGAAATTATGCTACACAGCACACCGCCTCAGGAAAGCTAAGCAGGCGAAAAGGAGAGAGGCAGAGAGACAGAAATATAAAAAAGAGAGTGGGTGCCTGAACCCACTTTCTCCTATAATACAAGCCGTCAAACATCAGAAGCCATCATCATAGATTAGCCTGTCTCTAATCCTGGCTGTTAGCACAGCTGGGGCAGATTAGGGAGGGGGCATTCCTGAAAGAGCCAACATGGCGTCACAGTCGCTGACAGCTCACCTGGAAACACATGGGTAACTGTACAATACAGCACTGTTTCAATCATACACACACACACACACACACAGATCAAACGCAGTGCTGGAGAAAAGCTGCCTGCTCGCCTGCCCCGGGGCAGCGGGGTTAGGGCAGGAAGTCAGGCTTCAGAACTGTGCGACACCTCTAAGACCACTTGATCCTAAAACAGGGGGGAGTTCCTGGTTTCTGGGGTGGCGACTGTAAGCGGCTGTGTGTGTGGAATAAGGAAAACTAGATTTGACGTGTGAGGGAGACAGAAAGTATAAGTGAGAAACAAGAGTTAGAGGGTGAAAGGGAATAAGGTGGAGAACAGAGGGCCCTGTCACACTGTCGAACTTCACAGGAAATCTGTTTAATGTGGGAGATCAGGGAGGAAACATGCTCTCTTGATATCTGGCCATGAATGCATGGAGTGTAAAACAAATGATACGGCAGCTCCATGGCAGAGCACATGTGGCGACAGCCTAAGTAGGTTTGGCTTTCTTGAAAGGAAATGTAAAATCCATCTTCCACTGAATGTGTACTTTGTTTTAAACCAAATGAATGATGTTCCCCAAAGATAAAAGGCATCCACTCGGTCCTCCTGAGTTCTGACCCAAACTTACTGTGTAATGGACACCTGCAGTTTTCCCTCTCAATTTTCTCAGAGAGCATATGCAGACTGTAAGTTGATTTTCATTTGCAGAACTGCTATGGCGAAAAGCAAACCCGCTAGCCACACAAAATGTAAAGCGCACCTTTCTATGATGGATGTGCGTTGTTTGAATGTTTATTGTTCCTAGGGGAATGCAATATCGTCATAGGTTTATTATTGGCCACTTAAAACTGATCCACTGTGCATATTTAATTCTGCTTTTATAATCTAGAAAATAATACATCATGAGGAAATTGGTAAGTGTGCTTTCCATTCTAATGGTATTTTACAACAAAAATGCTGTGCAAATGGCTTCGTTATTATTTCACAGTACAGAGCAACTTGTACTGTATGTAGCATAACAAGTCCAAGTACGTATTGCTGTTCCTGAATGTTCCTGCTGTGGCCGTTTGTCATTCGTCTAGATTATGGCAACTAGAGTAGCTTGTGTGTTGGTATGTGCATGGCTCATAGTAGCACAGTAAGGAGTACTCACACTTCCTGTAGTGCCCAGGGACAGATGGTTCATCTGCTGGGCGAGAGGGCCCATCATGCTGGCAGGCTGCATGGACATAGTGTGGTCCATGCCTGGCGTGATCACTGCACCCTGAACGAGAGAGAAGACAAGGAGAGACTCAGATGGACGGAAGCACAGAAGAAATGATGCAGACTGTGCATATTCTTTTATTTATTTATTCTGGTTCTCATTAGCCTCCACATGAGTGGATGAAAATCATTCTGGAGCCCATGTGAAACCCAAACCAAAACAGAAAAACCCAACAAAAAGACCAAAACTAACCAAACAAAGATATCAGAAAAGAAGCAAACACATTCGAAGGAGGAGTATATACGAGTGTATAAGCAAGAAGAAAGGGCGTGGTGGCCTGAAGTGGTAAGGGGTTAAAAAGGCAAGGCAGGAAGTTGGGGTTAGAAGTGAGAAAAAGAGAAGGAAAGTCAGCAGGTGGACAGGAAGGGAAAAAGTTGAGGAAATCGCCACTCCTAAAAGTTCAAAGCAATAAAAACAGAGGAAGAAAAAAAAGGGTTGGGCCGGGAAGGGGTGACATGAGGACAACGCAGCCAGAGAAGAAGAAGAAGAAGAAGAAGAAGAAGAGGGACAGTGTCAACAAACAGCAACAGGACTCAGGGATGTTTTTAAGATCAATACATACCATTGTCTTTGGTCTGTCAAAATAATCAATATCTGCTGCTGATGTATCAACAATATGGGTTTGTGCGGTTCATTGATTGCTGAGAGAGGATGCTGTCTCCCTCACTCCCTCACTGTCTCCCTCACTCCCGAGCCTCCCCTCTTGGTAAAATGTGTGGCGTGTTTTCCCTAACGGGCGGATGAGAACGCTAGAAGCTTCTCTTTCACAGTGCAGTGGTACATGAGGGAAAGTGATGAAACCATTGTTGCTCTTTCAACCCTTGCCGTGATAGCTCCATTTCCCCAGCACTGAATCCTCGGGAGGAACACGTTCAAAACCAAGCCCTTTTTCCTTCCACTTTGTGAGTGTGTACTGTGAGTGTGTCTGTGTGTGTATAATCCTGCAACTCGAGTAGTGCAGGCTGGTGTGTGTGTGTATGTGTGTGTGTGCACCCCGCTGGTGACTCTGTGTGGGCCTATTGGAGAACAAACTGTGCAGACACAGCCTGTCAGAATCGCTCGGCTTGTCTACTCCCTGCATTCACAACACAGTCAGCTAACTCTCTCTCTCTCCTCCTTCTTCTACCTCAAACATCTTTCTCCCTATCCCACTCGATATGCAAACTTCATGTGATCCTTACCGCAGTTTGACCTCAGTACAAAAAGAAAAAAACTCTGTGAAGCTGGGATCACTGTCTCAAGAAGTATAACAGTTACACTAGCTCTTTTGTATTTCTCATTAAAATGTAGTGTTTACTAAGTGGATATTTACACACTAGTAATTTAAAACAGATTGCAGGGCTGTGATATTCATTGTGGATGGTTAAAGCATTTTTTGTTGGGGCTTCATCTTTCAGGCTGTGTTCAACCACCTTAGCTTTACGGGGAATTTTGAGAAACCTGCAGAACTACTCAGGGCTCACAAGCAGTGACTTGTTTTTTAAGTTATTTTTGAGCAAGAAATGTAATACCATTATTATTTTATAACCTTATTTATAAATGTTCTTAAGCGTAGAAATCAGTTGTTATTAAATATTCACTCCAAGTACCCAGGTGTCACTTTAAGATAGCTTAATGGACCACCTGACAACATTTGCTAATAAGAGGAAATACAATATATATTTACTTGCAGCCAATTAAGACATTACTTAAAGTGGACCTATCATGCTATATTTGAAACATATATTGTAGGGCCATACCTATACAAAACATGTCTGTGAAGTTTTTTTTTCAAAATACCAAACAGATCACCCATTGTAGCCATGCCTCATACTGCTCAAACCCCTCTTTTGCAGCCCTGTTAGAGAAACGCGGATCTTGGGTCCTTAGCTTGAAAAAAAAGAAAGAAGAGGAGGCGGAGCTAATGCCTGATCAGAATTCTACCGGAGATAAAGTTAAATTCTGCTGTGATAAAACGCCATCCTGTTTAAACCAGGTCAAGGATTATTTCTGAAACAGTATGGAGCTCAAATGCTTTTTCTCTTGCAGGTTTATCACAAGGTGAGTTCTTTTTTTATTTCCTGCTTTTTAAACACATGTGCTCTACACAGTACAGGTTAGCTCTGAGTGTTAGCGAGGCTTGCTAATGTAAACAAAGACGAGATTACGTCCAAAACACGTCAGGCATTGTTTCTGATAGCAACTTTCTGTGGGTCCGCTGCCGATTTGACGTCAGTTCGGATGGAATCTGTATCCGCTCGTTTTAAAAGATTTGGGTACGGAGGAAAAGAGAGAGGGTTTTATTTTCTGACGCTGCGTGAGTTCCCGACGCACCGGGGACACATATTTATGTATAAAAGACATCACAAAGTGCATTTTGCATGATAGGTCCCCTTTAAGCAGCTGTACTCACATTGCCTTATCTATAACAGAGCAGACGTATTGAGTAAATGACTAGTTTGAAATGAGCTAGTAATTACTAAGATCTTAGGAAGGACTTCAAAACATGGTGATGATAAAGTGAGGCCTTACAAACAGCTGGTGCAATCCTGCAATACGGATTCTTTAATTACAACAAGCAAAACCCCAATGTAAACTTATTGTAACAGGTATATAAACTTATATTATCTGTTTTGTGTAAAAACAATCTGTACCTGCAGAGTACCTAGTGCATGTAGCTTAATATTCCTTTGAAAAAATGAGAATATTCAGTACTTAGTCGAGGGGAAACGAGAAGACTGTGTGAGGACAGGAGAAGGATGATTAGGGAGAGAGCTGATGGAGGTCATGAAGAAGACGACAGCAAGAGAAGAGGAACATGGAGAGGGAGGAGAGAGAGTTAGAAAGAAAGGCCGAGGGACACACGGGGAGAAAGCAGAAGAAGACAAAGAAAGAGAAAGAAGAAGAGAGAAGGCGAGGAAGAGGGAAGGACAGAGAAAGAGAGGAGCGAGAGCGAAGCAGCAGGAGCTGTGGGCTACCTGTTACTGATTCAGACTCTGACAATGCCTTTATAATGGGAAAGGGAGAGCATCGGAAAGGCTTAATTCACAGACGTGTCAGGGAGAGTTAAGCCGATTTGTGATTTCGATTTTCTGTGTTTGTGAGACTGAGTGTCTGTGAGAGAGGGGGTTTTAGCGTGTGTGTGTGGGGGGTTAGTTTGTCTATCTGTCGTGTTGTGTGTCTGTCCACGGACAGACTGGAGAGCAAAGAAGATGAGAGGGAGACTGACACAAATAGGCAATATATGTTTTTGATTTGTCCTCTGTGGGTAAGAGAAAGACAGAGAAAGAGCAAGATAATGGATGCTACTGACGTATCTGTTACAAATGTATGAGATGATATTTACAGATCTCTTCGATGTATGCGCATGTGTCTCTGAAAACCCATCTTGCTTAAGATGGTATTGATCCTCATGTAGACAGGAGACAGATGATACCAGCCCCTAGTAGTTAAATACGCTGATATACACTCAGCAACCGGAGACAATGTACAGTAAATAAGAAATAAAAAATCTTACAACCAGCAGTGTTTTTTAATGACCACTCATTACAAGTAAATAGTAGCACTCAGACTGATGGCGCGCTGATCGCTATCAGCTGATATTCATTACTTTGTCTTTAGAGTTGCTGGTCAGAAATAACATTTGTTAAATGGGTAAGGTGAATACATAAATGTCACACACAGAGTGCTTTTACTGCATGATCCATAAAAGCTAAAAGATCTTACATACAGCGAGGTAGGCAGTATTCTTAGGTTGCTCATATTATTAATACGATTATTTTGATAAATGCAGCAGTTAATAATTTTATTAAAGGGCAACATTTCAAATTTTTTAGGGTTTAATGAAGCTTTCCTCAATGCAAATAGACAATGCCTGAGAAGTCATTCTATTATATTTATGTTAGTGAATCTGACAAATGAGGGACACAGTTTTTTACAGAATGTCCTCTGTATTGGCTCTCCATAAAATACTCTAAAGATTGTTATCAAATTCTGATTACTTTAAAATGGTGATTACTATAAGCAATAACAAAAAAACAATGTATATAGCACTTTCAAAAGAGGTAATTTACATGGTTATAAGCCCTCAGGTTTCAATTCTGGTAAGTTCAGACATGGTTCACAAAATCATCACTATCCTGCTAAAATCTTAATATGGTTTCCAAATGATGAAAAGTAAAATAAATGTGTTTTCTGACAGGTGAAATGTACAACATTTGGGAGCAAATATACAAAATTGAAAGCTCAAGAGGATCCAACAGAGGCTGTTTTTCCACTCAAACAAAGCATCACTTGTGTCGCGTGCATGAAAGAGGACCGGCACTTGACTCAACACATTCCTCGCTGTATTTGACAGTTGGTTTCTGTATGTGAGGTTCTGTGGTTTGGATACTGATGCTGGCGTGTGTGTTGAGTTGGGGTAAACGTGACACGCCACACTGCAGGATACTTGCAGAGGTGCTGCGGCTCCACGCCCCCCCCCACAGGGTTATACAGCTTTGATACTGTTAGACCCTTCTCCATCTCAAGTGAAACAGACACAGACCGAGCTTGTTCCCTCAGTCGTTATTGGTCTGGAGAGCCTGGTGGTATGGAACATCTGCTGATGATTGACTGGTAACTGTATACAGTACAGAATGCCAGGGACCCCTAATACTAACGGCCCACCTGAAGGGCGTATTGATACTGAAACCGTATCCATAGAAGCCACACAAATACACAAGTTACTGCATGGTGTGTGTTTGTTCATATCTTTCTGTATTTTCTGAATGTGCTCTTATTTAGCTAGATCTGTATTTGTGCTCTATTAAGGTTGACAAAGGCCACCCATAACTCTTTCTTAACCTACCTCAATTGTGAACACATTTTTCAGATGCCTTCATGCACCTTTCCATTCGGGTAAGCCGGAAAAAAGGGAGTCAGTATTCCGGGCCTTTCAATGTAATCCGCAGCATGAATCCCTCCTCGAGGCTAACAGACTACCAACTATAACCAACACAATGTGTCTACGAGACACAACG